GGTGAGGGCCCAGGTGAGCAGCGCCCAGTGGGCGGCGCTCAGCACAGTCACCCGGTGTCTAGACCTCGCCGGCCCCTGGAGGGACCCACCAGCCCACAGCCGTCAGTCTCCCCTGCAGCTGGCCTCGGACCGGCAGGGTCAGACTCTGCTTTCTGAAGATCCTGCACGCGTGTGCCCAGTGTGGGTCACGCAGCGTCAGGCCTCCGGACTTCACCGGACGAGATGCACTGGTGCCGGAGCCCTCACAGCCCAGGGCGACATCGTCATTGCCCCCACTGTGTGCACAAGAAGATGGGGTCTGGAGGCGGCCCTGACCGCCCGATTCTCCAGCTGAGGAAGAGGGGGTGCAGCGTGGAAACCAGCCCCGAGGCTGCAGCGCTCATGCCCCGAGTGCCACAGGCAAGGCCTCAGGGCCCCATCTGTAGGGGGGGGTCCCCAGCACAACCTCACCTGGGGAGGATGTGCCGGTGAGCCCTGCCCCTCCCCCGGTGGTCCTGGGGAACTTGAGAGGCCAGCTTGCCAGCTGGCCTCTCTGCAGCCCCTGCCCCAAAGGGCTTACAGGCCGAGGCAGGCAGGTGGGAGGCGACTGAGCAAACGCCCTCGTGCTCACGTGTGTCAACCAAAACCAGAGGGTGCCCAGAGTGACCGTCTCCCAGTAACCAGGGCTTACACCCCTGGGGCACAGCTGCACCCCGTGGCCACAGGGCACACCCTGGGGGTCACCATGACCCCAGGTGGGCCGCCCGCTGCTCCCCTCCCCTGCTCCTCTCCCCCTTCCTGGTCCCCTCCTCCCAGGGGTTCAGACAGGTCCTTCCTAGGGAGAAGCCCACAGCAGCCAGTCCCAGCAGTCTGGCTTGGCCGAGGCCCCGCCCCTGGGCGCAGGGGAGGACAAGGCGGGGTGTCTCCGGGTGATGGGGTGAATTAACGGCTCACATCAGCTGTCTCCCTGCTTCCAGAGCTCCGCTGACTCGGCCCTCTCGGGCAGTAGCCCCCCGCCACCTGCCCTAGGGGAGCAGCCAGCAGGCTGTGCCCTGACTCCAGACTTGCAAGCTGAGGCTGAGACAGGGGCCCTGAGCCCGCCCCGGCCTGAGGGCGGAGCCAGCCTGGGACTCAGGGCACAGGTCTCCCAGGACGGTGCTCCAGATGGGGGAGACACATCACGCCACTCCCCGGACCCCAGCGTGCGATCTTTGCTCACCTGGGACCGGGGAGTGCAGACGCCGGCTGTACGTGGGGGGGGGCCGGGGAGCAGGCCCTGCCCGAGGGCATCGCGTGGGCCCAGGGCGGGGCAGGGAGGGCGAAATGCCCCTTCCCGTCCCCCACCCAGCGCGAGGATGACCCACATGGGGGACACAGGCGCCAGGAGAGCCGGGGGCTTCCCCCATGGCCAAGACCACCACAGGGCGGAGGACACACCTCGGCCTCCACCCTCATCTCCCTGTCCACCCCCCACCTCCCCCAGCTCCTTCCTGTTTTGATGGAAGGAAAAATGTCCAGCTTTTTCCTTCTTTATTTTTCCAGACGGGTGACTCGTCGGGGAAAGGAGTCCCCCCCCAAACCATCATCTTACCTATACAATGGACGCCACGGACCCAGGCCTCGCCTGTTGTGCTGGGGTGGTCGCGGTTATTTTTGAGAGCTTCATGGGGGTGGTTGGCCAGGGGAGGGGACTGGGGGTGCTCAGCTGCCTTCACAGCCCCCTCCCAGATTCCTCCCCGCCCCCACCCCTGCTCCTGGTCCCAGTTCAGGGAGGCGGGAAGGAAGCCTGCTAAGCCAGGGTATAAATAACTCAGGTGGTGGTTACTCAGCTCCTGAGAACATGATAACGTGAGTCATGATGTGAAATCAAGAGGAGCACCGAGCAGCCCGGACCACGGCCACCGCCCCACCAGGCAGGGTCTGGAGGAGGACGGGCGTGGACCTGCCGTGGGGGGCCCAGAGGCCAGTGAGGGGCGGGCGCTTTGCTGGAGCATGATCGGGCTGGGGACCCCAAGCTGGGAGAGGAAGGAGGTCCCGGGGCCCCGCGCTGACCTCTGCTGGCCCTTGCCTTGGGCCTGTCACCGGTCAGTGGGAAGAGCAGGCCTGCTGGGCTTCCTGGCTCCCTCCCCCCACTTGCAAGGCAGGTGTTCCTGGGAGCGTCCGGGCCTCAATGGGGCTCGTGAGGTGGGAGGGCAGTGGACGGTGCAAGGCGCCAGGGCTCTGGACACTGTCCTGCTGAGCCTTTGTCCAGCAGGGTGGCCTGAACCAGGGACAATCCCCTCTCTCCTTTGGCACCAGGACGCAGAGTGGGCATGCGGCCTGGGTGCAGAAACAGGACACCCTTCGGGACGACTGGCCTGGGCAGTGTCATCTGCCCAGCAGCGAGGCTGAGCGGCAGGCCCGGTGCCGGCTCTGGCCGCGTGGGTCAGAAGCCAGCCGCCCAGCCCTGCGCTCCGCGGAGGGCTCATCTCCACAGCAGGGCGCGCCTGGACCCCAGGTTGCCATGGCAACAGGCTCCCGCCACCTGCAGTGGCCTGGTCTGCTGGTGACAGGGCTCTGCTGGGGGGCGGCACGGGCGGCCTTTGGCGACCGGTTTCTGGGGCTGAGCTGCAGGCCCTGCGTGCCGGAGAGCCCGCGGTGGCCCAGCTGGCCAAGCGCCGCCCAGCTCAGGGCGGAGGTCAGAGCACCCGCCCTCCTGCTGTGGGAGAAGTCCTCCTTCCCACCTGGCTTTAACCCACAGGGTGGTCCCCCAAAGCCTGACCGCCACCCGATGTTCCCCCGATGCCCCTTGGCTTGGCTGTCCCAGGGCAGGGAGAGGGACCGACTGTCCCCCACCCCTGCATGCCCAGACAGCTTGGCATGGCTCAGCCCCAGCCATTCATGGGGCAGCCTGCCCTCTGGCCCCTTGCAAACAATGGGGACTCCAGGAATATTGTCCTGCTGGGACTGAATCGAATGCTCTAAATTTAGCCCATGTGATGAGCCCTCCACTTCCTGCCCCTGCTGCCCTCCTTGCAAGGAGATGAGGTCACCCCGGAACTGTCCGCCCCAGTCGGGCTTGGGGGTTCCAGGTCCAGAACTGCTCTCCTGCTCTTGGGGAACCAGGAGTCACGGGTCTTCCCTTCCTCCTGCCTGCCCCTCGGGCCGCTGGGCCAGAACTGCCCGGCAGCCTGGACGGGGTTGGGGTGAGGGGAAAGAAGAGGGCCGAGGGCAGGGAGGGCGCCCTCGGGGAAGGGCCAGGTACCTGAATGCCTCCGAAGAAACCCCAAGTTTCTGTCATGCACGTAATAGCCCCACTGCGCGCTGCTCTGTGCCCCCACGCCCGGAGCCAGTGGTCTGGCGGAAGGAGGCCGAGGGGCAACCAGCCCGGGCCAAAACCATGCCAGTCGCGGCCTGGTGTCAAGGACATGAGCCAGCGAGGTGGCACCAGACCTGGGGCTGGGGCAGAGCCCTGCTTCGGGAAAGGGTCAGGGAGGATCTGAGAGTGACACTGGAGCCGAGTCTTGGGTAACCAGAGAGAACTATTTGAAGGTCTGGGTGGGGCCGAGCACTCCAGGCTGGGGGGGTGGGGGGGTGTCGGCCACCTCAGGTCAGAAGAACCAGGTCAGGTTTGAGGCCAGGAGACCGCCTTCCGCCGGGGAGCCGCGCGGAGGGTCCGCCTGGCCTCCCGCTGCCGCAGACAGGTGCTCTGACTCCGGCCCCCCGGCCCTCAGCCACCGCCCCCCGCCCTGAGCAGCTCCCAGAAGCCCCCACTCTCCGGCTCTGCCAAGAATCTGGGGTTGGCAGGGAGTTGCGGGGGGGCTCTGGAATGTCGCCTTCCGGTGCCAGTACAGGCGTGCCAACCTCGGCAGAGGCCTGGGGGCGGACGGGGGATCACCGGATCTTGTCTGGAGTGGGAGGCTGGCTGGCGGGCAGGAGCTAGCAGGGGAGGAGCAGCCCTGCTGCCAAAGCTCAGGTGAGGGAGGTCGTCTGCAGGGCGGGTCTGCCTGGGGCCCCTGACGGCGGAGGTGGGGGGCTGGTTCCAGCCACCATGCTCCGTCCAGCCCCTCCAGGAGCCCACAGTCCACTTCAGGTGTGCCTGAGTGCCGCTGGCGGGCGGGAGACCCCTGTTAACCTTTCCAGTGCTGGCCAGGAGGGAGAGCGCTCTGGGCCGAGGCTGACCTGGGTTCAAATCCCATCGCCAGTTTCTGCCTTTTGGGGGGGCGTTTCCTCGTCCGTAAGATGGAGACACCCCCCGCTGCAGGGGTGGGGTGACCCCTCCCTCCCCCCAGGCCTGGCACACTCCGGCACCCTCAGCTGTAGGGGTCCTCTTCCTCCTCCCTGGTGGTTTCCCCTGGCCCTGGGGGGTGGGAGCATGAGTGAAAGGCAAGGCAGTGGGGTACTTGGGTGTCAGGAGGATCTGGTTTGAGCTCTGGCTCTTCTGCTGAGCAGCTGTGTGACCTTGGCCAAAGCCCCAAACCTCTCTGAGCCTATTTCTCTGCGGGTCTAATGGCAACAGTAGCAAGTACCTTCCCCACAGGGTTGTTAGTGTGATCAGCACCCCAGGAGAAAGAGGACACTGTGGGGAGACCAGGATCCCCCACTAGCCCAGGTTGTTGGAGGCTTCTGGCGAGGGTGAGGGGCAGGCTTGAGCCGCCTGCTGAGAAGAGAGAGGGCCACACCCAGACGCCTGCCTGTTCCTCTCAGGGGAAGCTGCAGTGCTGGCAGTTCGTGGGGAACCCCCCCCCATAATCCCAGCTATGCCGGTGGGGAGGGGGCAGGCCTCTTCCAGACAGATGCCCTTCAGGCCACCCAGGGCCTCCGCCCCTCTGCCTCCAGAGCCCAGGCCAAGATGCCTTTATTTTTAAACCTGCAAACAATGCCTGGCTGGGCCCCTCCAGGGAGCAGGTGGGGTGGGGGGCAGAGGCCACACTTCCTGGGCCAGCACCCTCCACCCCCAGAAGGGAGCGGAGGGGACCCTGCTCCCCACTGACAGGGACAGAGCCTTCCTGGCTCCCCCCTCCAGCCTTGGCCCTCTCTCCCTGGGGGTCTGGGTTCTAGAGTTTGCTGCCCCTGCGCCCTGCACCCCCTGAAGGCACACCTGAGCTCCTCAGCCGGGTGGGGGACAGAGGGCCAGAGGCCTAGCTGGGCCGCCTTGCCCAGCTCCCCCTCTCCCCCGCTACTTCCCCATCCACTGTGACCCCAGAAGACATGACACCCTTTCAGAGGCGACAAGGCCTCTCCCGTCATGGGGTGCCCCTCAGAAGTCCACAGGCACCAGCGGGCCGAACGCTGACCCTCGGCCTTGCCACAGTCCTGAGTCCCCACCCGCCTCCGCAGGCCTCACCCCTCGCTGGGCACACCCTGGAGCCTCCTCCAAATGCACCAGGCATCCCCCAGGCGCACCTTCCTCCCTCTCCCTCCAGCCAGCGACCCCCAGTCACCTCCTCCCGGAAGGCCTGGGGTTATGAGCCTAAAATGGCTCTTACTCATCTCTCTCTCTACCCCCAAGCCTGGCCCAAGACTTGGCACCAGGAAGGATCTTAGTAGGTGGGTGGGTGGGTGAGCAGGTGAGCGGATGGCAGGGACAGGATTCGGGGCCAGTCGGCTGGCTCTGCAGACCTTTGCTGTGGGCTCTCGGGAGGTCCCTGGCCTGTGCTGTTGTGCCTCATTTGCCAACCCAGCGGCTGGAAGAGGCTAACCCAGCTCAAAAGGTCACCAGTCCCGGGGTGACCCTGCAGGCTGGGTGGCCCTCGCCAGCCTCTCGGAGCCTCTGGGCCCCCGTGACGGCTCCACGCCTCCGGGAATGCCCGCACCATGCTGAATTAGCCCTCAGTGAGGTGCGCGGCCCTGACCGGAGCCAGCGGGCATGGTGCCCACAGCTGAGGTTCCGAGGTTCCGAGGTTCCCGGGGATGAGGCAACTGTCACCCGGGCTGGGGTGTGCTGAGCAGCGCCTCGTGAACCAGGTCGGGGGATCAAGTATGACAGAGGCAGCTGAGGGACACTGAGGCCTCCAGACATCGACCAGGTGAGGCCCCAACTCTCCAGGGGTGACGGACTGGAAATGAGCACCTGTGGGAGACCTGGGGACCCCTGACAGCAGACCGCAAGGGGCTGTCTCTCAGCCTCCTGGGGCCTGCTGCTGGGCCCTGGGTGGAGCCCCTGTACGTGAGGCTGTCCCAGGGGTCTTGGTGCTGTCTGGGCCAGGCACCCGCGACCCCGGCGGCGAGAACCCCGGCCCCTGACTGAGCGGACCCCCCTGCTCACAGAGCTGTGTTAGGAAATCACCCCAGATCTGCTTCCAGAATGAGTCAGGAACCTCCCAGGGGCCAAAAATAGTCCCAGGGACCCCTGACAAGGACACAGACATCTCTCAGAGTGTCTGAAAGCAGAACTGGCCTTCACCATTCGAGCTCCAGAGCCCACAGGCCGCCCGCCCTCTTGTCCCGTGACGCAGGGGCCTGGGGCGCCTGGCCCTGACCCTCGGGCGCCTGCCCCAAGCCCAGAACCTCCCGGAACCCTGAGCTTGACCTTCCCGTGGAGACACATGGCCAGATTGCCCCACCCCCCGAATTTGAATTCTTTTTCATCTTTCACATCTTTTCTATAAAAGCAACAATACGTGTTCCCTGAACGAAAATCTGAAAAATGCAGAAAAGTCAAAATAAGGAAGAAAAATCACCACCCACAGCCCCGCCACCCAAAGACAATCATTGTTAAGTGTGATGTATTTCCTTCCATAGTGTTTGCCGAGGGGATTTTTTAACGTGGCTGAGATCATGCTGTATATTAAAAGGAAACAACAGCTCTCGTATCCTGCCTGGGGCTTGCCGCTATTTCTGGGTGACATTCTCGGCAGTCCCGTTTCTTTTTCCTTCTCTCTGTGCCTCATGCTGATTGGCTGCCTGCTATTTTGTCCAGTGGAAGTTCCATAGTTTATTTAGCCATCCCCTGACTGGTGAACGTATCAGTTATTTCCAGTTTTTTTTGTGTTATTTATAATATATTTTGATAGATCTTTGTACGAAAGCTCTCCTTTTTCCATGGTCAGGGCTGTCGCTGTCTCCTTGCCTGGAATGGAATTACTGGGTCCCAGATGTTGCTGACACGGGAGGTCCACTAGCTTTCCAGGGGGCTTGGGCCATTCGACAGAGGGGCGAAGAGAAGTCTCAGAGGGGCCGTGACCCGTCCACTGTTACTCGGCTGCTCGCGATGCCAAGGTCCTTCCCCTGTTCTTCGCGCATCCCTCCGGTCATCCCTCCAGTCATCCCTCTGGTCACCCCTCCGGTCACCCCTCCGGTCATCCCTCCGGTCACCCCTCCGGTCACCCCTCCGGTCACCCCTCCGGTCACCCCTCCGGTCATCCCTCTGGTCATCCCTCCATGCATTCAACAGATAAGTGCACCTAAGTTTTGCCAGGTGCAGGCAGGTCGAACCCCTGGAGATCCTGCAGTGAATAAAACAACAAATAATAAAATGACCTTCGCTCAAAGTCCTTCCACCCCAAGGGTTCGGAGGAAAGCAGCGAACGGCAGGGTGCCGCTGGGCTGTGCAAATCCAGCTGAAGCCCGGAGGTCGGTGACTTGCATCTCAGTGGGGAGGCAGAGGGTGACCTCTGTCCCGAAGGTGGCCCAGCTCGTGCAGGCTAAGAAAGGGACAGAGCAGAGGCTGCAGGACAGTGGGTGACCTAGGAGGCCAGCACCAGCATAGCCAGCTCTGCGAACACCAGGTGACCTGGACACCCCTAACCTCTCCGTGCCTCCGTTTCCTCACCTCTAAGACAGACGGTCACGGAGCGCTCCCCTCTGTCACGGTGACGCTCGCTGGCGGGAAGCAGCCTGGTGTGGTGCCCAGGTGTGTTCTGTTTTATGAATGCGCAGGAGTGGTCACCCAAGGGCTCACAAGCACAGGGGTCCTGAGCCCACTCTCCATCTAACAGCTAGGTAGGAGGAGGCCCTGCCTCAAGCCAGAAACCCCAAGAGGTCTCCCGCCTCCCCGTTGCAGTTATCAGCTGCCTTGACCCTGGGCCTGCCCCCGCCCCGAAAGATAAGGAGGGATGGGTAGAGTCCCCCCCACCGTGACCCCTCCCCAGTCTTCTGGGCAGCCGGGCCTGACCCCTGGGCATCCCTCTCTCTGCTGAGGAACTTTGTCTTCGGAGACTGGCTCCCTGGCCATCCAAGGAGGGAAAGGCTTCCTGGCGCGAACAATGGGGCCGGATCCCCTGGCATGCGGGGGTGTGGGCATCTGAGGAGGGTGCCGGTCCTGCTCGGAGGAGCCGGGAATGTGCAGACGGGTGGGGCACACCAGGTCCCGCGGGGGCCCAGCGCTGTGGGGCCCGCTCTGCCTGCTGGACCTGGGCTCCCAGACCCTCTTTACAGACAAGAAAGCAAGGTCACCCCACACGGGCACGCTGGGGCCCCTGTGGCGCTCTAGTCTGGACGTCAGGCTACACGTCCTGAAGCGCACCCCCACTTACTGGCCCTGCTGCTGACTTTGCAGGGCCCCCGCCCCGGGGCCCACAGGCCAGTTGCCTGTGGGCCTGGCCTCGCCCAGCCGGCCGGGGTGCCCCAGCACCTGCCTGGGCGTGCCTGTACCCCTGGGTTGTGGTCTGAAATCTCTCCTGTTCTGCACGCAGTAGGTGCTCAGCGTTCCCCGGGCGAGCAGCCGAGAGGGAGCAGCGGAGAGAGAACCTCGCTGGCGCCTGGCTCCCTGCCCGGTACCTGGTCCTCACGTCTCACCCCTGTGGCCTCCGTGCTGCAGAGGTGCCCCCCACTTCCCGGGAGCCTGTGGTGTGCAGGGGCCGAACAAGAGGGCTTTGAGGCGGCCCTATCTCCGGAGGGAAGTGGAGGCGATAACGCAGCTTCTCACTTTCCCAGCCTGTCCTGGAGCCGAGATAACGGGGGGAGGAGGGATGCCGGAGCCCTGCTGGCAACAGGGCCACCCACCTGACCCCCAGGTCTCCCACCACCCCCCTATCACAGACTCCTGAAACCCGAGGACCAGCTCGGAAGAGGCAGCGAGGCCGGCAGACGATAAGCCCCCAGTGCTGGTGGGGAGCGGGACAAGTCTCCAGCGCCCCCGGAGCGACCTGTGTGCCTGGGCTCCCTTCCTGGGTCCACCCTCTCTGCCCAGGAGCTCACCTGACCCTCGGCTGCTCTCCAGAGCTGCCCTAGGACACAGCCCCCGCCGGAGGCCTTGTGCTGACCCCAGGCCCTCCCGAAGCTCTCTGGCCAACCAGGGAAGAAGCTCGGGGGCTGTCGCCCAACTTAGCAGCATCTTAACAGCAACCCAAGCGAACCTGCAGCCCAGCTCCCCCGGGCAGGCTGTGCATTCCCCTCCAGCACCCCCTCCAGCACCCCCCTCCTCACCCTCCCACCCTGGTCAGGCCTCGGAAGAAGGGTCACAGGGGTGTAGAACAGAGAAGGGGCTGCGTGTGGTGGGGGAGAGCCAGAACCGGACACAGGACCCCAGGCTTTACCCCCAGCTCTGCAATGAATGCCCTGGGGCACCTTGGCACATCCCAGCACCCCTCTGCCCCTCCATCTCCAGACGGGGTGACTCTGGTTTTACCATAAAGGATGCAAAGTGGCTCAAAGAACTAAACCCGTTCAGGGCCTTTGGAAGTGCCCAGGCCTCGTGTCCCTGCTGCGCTCCCTGGAGGCCGCTCTCCTGGCAGCCCCGGAAGGGCAGGCCGGTGTCGTCCGTCCCAGCATGACCCGGGCCCAGGCGGCCACACTCTGCAAGCTCCCTGGGACTGTACCCACGTGTGGCCAGTGCTTCTCTTGGGAGAACATTTTCTCGGCATCGTCACAGATGTATGTTCACATATGCACGGCTAGGAGGCACATGAAGAAGTGCCCGCATGGCCAGGGCTAGAGAAAGAAAGTTCACGATAAACTGGCCCCTCACTCCCAGTGGACGGCTGAAATCACAATCCCAAGCTCTGGGGAGGACCGAGAGCCACTGACCCCTCGCCACGGCTGATGGGATGCAAGCTGATTCGGCCACCTGGAAAGAGCTGACTGGCCCCAGAAAGCCAGCTGCTCCCTGACCGGGGACACCCACGCGAGAGAGGGAGGCACATGCCCACGTGATGACGTGTCAGGACTGTCCCCACAGCGTCTTTTCAACTGTCTGCCAGTGGCACCCAGCCCAGGCTCCCTCCACAGATGAGCTGGAAAGGAGATGTGGTCCATCCACGTGTGGAATATTATTCAGCCAGAAACAGGAACAAGGTGCTGACACACCCACAGACTTACTTGAGCGGAAGCCGCCGCAGACCACACACCACACCGCAGCATGCTCACGGGGCAGGGCCCGGAGGGTGGTGCCGGGGAGGGCGACTGGGCTGCTGCCGGCTGCGGGTGTCTCTGGGGCGGTGTCGGAAGCCAGGTGGTGGCGCTGACTGCGCAGTCAGTCCGGGGGTGCACGGCACAGCCCACCCAGGCCCGTGGAAACACCCAGATGGCTGGAGCTGGGGTGCAGGCTCAGCCCCTGGGCGTTGCCTTGGCTCTTGTGCGCCACCTGACAGCCCCGTGAGGTGCGCGTTTGGCATATGCAGGGAGCGAGGTCGAGAAGTGGGGTCGCTGGCACTGGAAGTAATGGCGGCACGATGCCTCCCTGGCCTTCATAGAGGGGGCGGGCTGGGGGCCCTGGAGCTGCCTTTGCGGGTGACAAGCTCTGTGATAGGCTCCCCTGGGCCTCTCACCCTTCCCCTCCAGGCCCGTCTTCCATCTGTCAAAAGCGCTGCATCCCTAGTTTCCAAGCTGTGTTCTGAGGCACCTGAGCTAAGAAGGGAGCTCAGCTGCCCTGGGGAAAGGGGGCCCCTGAAGCCTCCGGGGACCCCACCCCGCCCTTGCCCCCCCTTCAGGCCTGGCCTCCCCTGGAAGGCAGGATGTGGCTGCCAATGTAGGTGGGGAAGAGGAAGGCGTGGGGGGCCGTGCTCAGGATCCACATCCCGGGGCCTCGGAGATGGGAACTCCAGGTGTCTAGAGCCCAGTTTCCGGCTCCGGCCGAGTGAAGAAGCCGTGGGCAGCTGCCTCCCAGGACACAGCGCTGGCTCGGAGCCCAGAGCCCTTCCGGGACATGATGCCTGCTCTTCGCTTCCTTGCTCTGGGGGGGCGCTCTGGAGCCTCTCCTCAGGGCCTGGGTCCCTAGGCCTGGATTAGCCAAGTTTCCTGGGCTCACCTGAGTTCTAGACACATCAGAGGGTGAAGCTGGGGACCCTGCCCTTGTTGAGTTCATCAACCCCCCGTCATGTTTGCAGAAGTCCAACCCCAGCCGTCAAACACTCCCGAGAAGGAGGCTGACAAGATGGGGCAGGAAGGCGAGTGAGCAACAGGGAGTGGTGAGGACTGTGGCCAAGTAGGGCATCTTCCTGAGCAGGCCACAGTTACTTGGTTACAGCTGCCAGATTTCTGGTTTTTCAAGAGAAGCCAAAGATCTGGATTTCAATGGGAAATCTCCAAATTTGGAAGGCAAAACACATCCTTGAACAAGACATCACCTGTGGCCACAGTTAGCAACATTATCTCATGGATGGAGTCCACTGCCAACCTGCAGGGAGAAAATGGGGGCTCAGGGAGCCCAGACTCAGGCCTGGTCTCTCCTTCCACGCCCCAGGAAGGACAGGCGCCTGAAGCTGCTCCTCTGTTTAAACAAACAAATAAACAAAGGAGTCTTCCTTCACAGTGCTGTGAGATAAAGGGTGGCCCATCCCAGGCACAGCAAAGGAGGAGGAAGCTACTTCGGTCCTGATACCGTCCTCCTCGCTGTGCGCCAGAGGGCAGCCGCTGGGGGCGTGTGCCCAAGACCAAGGAAGAATGGGAATCTATCTTTATGTGGATCTGTACCGGCGGCTGGGAGAAGGCTCAGGAAGCGGCTGGGCCGGGTGGGAGCAGAGCTGTTTGCTGCAAACCCTTTGACATATTTCAATTGTTGGACACGTGCGTGTGTTCACTCTTCAGCGAGTAAAAAGGGCTTTTTGTTGTAATCTCCCGTCTTCTGTCCCGAGGCATCCTCTGGAGCTGAGACATGGAGGGGCAATTGTGGGTGTCCTGGGGTCTGGCTGTGGGCTGTCCAGACGAGGCCCCCTGGGTACCCGGGGTGCTCTGTGCTGACCGCCCCGGGAGGGAAGCCTGTTAGAACTCACTGTACAACTGGAGGACCCGAGTCACACAACGGAAGTTATGGGAGCTGCTTGAGCTAGGATCCAGGTTCTTAGAGGTTTCTGCTTCTTCCCGAGTCCTCTTCCCTGACCACCTCCCCTCTCCCAGCTAAGGATCCGCAACCTGGGGTCTGTCATGGCTCAACCAGGCCCAGGCTCCAGGCTCGCGCTCCGCCGGCTTCCAGTCAGAGCTCGCCAGGCAGGTCCGGACCCCCAGCGGGACCCTCACGCTCCTGCCACCCAGATGGGCCCAGTAACTGGATTCCTTCCGAGAATGGCTCAAGGGCAGGTCAGGAGACCATCTGGGCTGCAGACACCAGCATTTCCCTTAAACCTCGGGTCCCCTGGGGGCTCACAGCCCCCAACAGAGCCTATGTCTGGGGGTCCCCGGTCCATCTGCCCAGCGTGGGCTCTGGGGTCAGATAGCGCAAGGATGCCCGGGGCCCCTTAGACCACGCACAGCTTGGCCAGGACATGAGCACCTCACTGAGTCTCCAGTGAAGAGACCAGAGAGGTTAGGCCACTCGCGTAAAGTCACACGGCCACGAGCAGAAGAGAATCGCGCCATGATGCAGCTCCCGCGACCTCTTCGGATAAGAAATCTGCAACCCACCCCCAGTATGAAGGGGCTAGAGGAGGCCCCAGAACAGCTAAATGCAGGCGCACTCTTCTGAGGGAGCACGAGCCCCCCGCCCCGGCCAAGGGTAAGACCAGATCACGCAGGGGGGCCTGAGGGGGCCGTCTAGGTGGACATGGAGGTGGGGTAGCTCCCGGTGGAGAATGAGGTCAGGCGTGGCTGACGCCAGCTGGTGATTCCTCCGGCCCAGCTCCTGCGCCTCCAGGGCAGGCGACTGCCCAGGCTCCCCCCACTGGCCAGTGGCCAGGCCTGAGCTGCCCAGTGCCCCCTTGTGCTGACTCATGTCCACCCAGCCGGCTCTGCTGGAGGGAGGGGGCGGACCCCACTCCTCGCTTGACCTTATCAGGCTTGCTCTGTCCAGCGCCCTGGATGTGGGCAGGGCCTTGGCACCTCCCCGGCCCCTCCCTGCCAGGCGAGCGGGACCTGCATGAGCTCATGGGAGCCCAAGGCCGGGGAAGGGCAGGCAGGGCGGAGGCGGGAAGGGAGGGGGCAATGCCTGGCTGGGGTGCCGCTGGGGCTGCCCGTCGGCCCTCTGCCCGCCGGGACAGGGCTGGGCACCGGCTATTTTTAGTTCGCGAATGAGGAATGGCAGAACCCGGAAGCAGCAGCTGCTGCAGGGAAGCGTGTTGTTGCCTGCTCGACGCACACACGCAGACACCCAGTCACACCAGGCGACGTGCTCGTGCCGACCGGAGCACACACGCCGGCAGGACCGTGTCACGCGGGGACACCTCTCTGCAGGCATTCGCGCGTGCACAGGCCCTGCACAGGCCCGGCGCCACGGGGCCCCGCGTACACCCCGCCAGGTGGAACCTGGGGCGTCAGGCTGGCCGCGGCCCCCCTGCCTGCTCTGCTCCCCACTCTGTCTCTGGTGAGTCCTCTCACCCCCCCGCACCTCTGGCCTGCACCCCAGCTCTTTTATGCATAAATAAATAAAAATAAATCTTTACAAAAATAGAAAGGATGAAGTAGGCAGTAGGAAGAAGAATGCGGAAACTTCCCTCGGATACACATGGGGGGCGGGGGGCCATTTATAGGACAGTGCGTGGGATGTGCACATATTTAAGTTTTAAAAGCGCGAACTCAGTGTGTGCACGATCACGGTGTGTGCACGGCAGAGAGGCGCCCTGGGGGGCAGAGAGGCGCCCTGGGGGGCAGAGAGGCGCCCTGGGGGACAGACAGCTGAATGAAGGGGCCTGGGACGGAGTGTGCCTTGCTTTCCGTGGGCACGATAACAAGTCACCGCCTGATGTGTGGCTTAAAATAACAGGAGCTCATTCTCCCTGTCCGTGGGACCAGAAGCCTAGTCACGTGTCGTCAGGCCCCAGCTTCCGAACCCTGGGGGCGGGGAGCTCCGCCCCTTCCAGCTTCTGGGGGCTCCAGCTTGCCTTGGCTCGTGGCCTCTGGTCCCCGCTTCTGCCTCGTGTCTTCTGTCCTCCACGTCTTCCCGCTCCCGGCGAGGACGCCCTTGCTGCACGGACGACACATCCAATGCCGCGTGAGCCTCTTTGAGCTCTGTGCTCTGGATGACGGCGCAGGCTGTTCCAGAGACCGTCACCTCCTGAGGTTTGGGTGGACACTGTCACCTCCTGCGGGCGGCAGGGCCTGCAGGGGAAAGGGGTGTGTCCCTGTAGCAACCGGTGTCATGGATACAGCTAACCCTTGTGTTGCTCATTTTAATTTGTGAAGACTCTAAAATCTGGGCCCTCCCTGGTAGCACAGTGGCTTAAAGCACAACACTGCAAAGCCACCTGCAGTCGCTGCAGCAGGAATAACCCCCCCCCCTCGCCAGGGAGTGACCCACATGGCACAGCAGACCCCTCCTGGCTCCCCGCTGCTCCCCTCAGCAGTGGATTTCAGTAGATCTGTCTGCTGCCCACTCCATCTCTGGTGAATCCTCTCACCCCCTGCACCTCTGGCTTACACCCCAGTTCCTTCTTCTACACATAAATAAATAAATTCTTTAAAAAAATTCTAAAACCCCAGAAGACAAGACAGGTCTTCAAAGATCCCTCCCTCCCAGCGTCGGCGTCTCTGGTTTGGTCCCGTCCCTCAGAGGAGAGGGGCTGACCTGGCTGGAAGAGGCCTGGGTCCTCGGCCTCCTGTCACTGGGGAGGTGACAGTCCCAGGGAGAGGGAGGTGCGGGCTGGGGGCTGTCCATGGCCCAGTGATGCCCACCCCCAGGTCTCTGGACACGCGAGTTCATCCAGTTCACATGACAAACTTGAGGCTGAACACGGAAGGGGTCTGAGCTCTCACCTCCTGGTTGGGGGCACTAAGCCCTGTCCTGCTTCTCAGCAAAACCATGCCCCTAAGTCTCCTTCCAGCTGCAGCCCAGGCTTTCCCCGGGAGATGCCTCCGCCCCAGTTTACAGCCAGAGCTGGACAAAGAGGTGGATGAGGGGAGGCCGAGACCGGGGAGGCGTAGTCAGGCTCTGAACCCGACCGGGCTGTGCTGTCCAGTCTGCAGACCCTTGCTGGGCCCTGTGTCCCCAGGAGGCCATGCAGAGCCAGGCGCTGAGGACTCCGGCTCCCGCTGGGCCCCGGGGGCCACACAGCCCAGCGGCCCGAGGCTGGGGCGTCTTCCTTCCTCTGAGGCCATGTCGGGCCCTTGCGCCTGGCTGTGTGTGGCCAGGGCCCAGGACAGAGCAGGGCCTGCCCGAGCAGTGACCTGATACCCCTCCCTGTGTCTGGGAGGCTGGGGCCCCGGCCTGCACTTCTGCCTCCTCACTCTGGGAGCTGGGGGACAGGGGCTGGGAGAGGGTGCCCTGTTCACAGGCACCAGGTGCCCTCACCCGAGCCCCCCTGGGTCTTGGTGATTAATTAATCATCAGCTGTTTAAAGATTAACAACAGCAGAACAGCGGGGCTGGGTGGGGGTGGCTGAGCCGGTGATGGGGGTGTGGAGGAGGAGCTGCCCTGGGGACCCCTGGGCCGGTGACAGAGGGGTGGGAGGGTGGGAAAGAGACTGGCTCTGCCTCCCCACCCCTCCCGCCTCAACCCTCCACAGCTCCACCCTTCCCTGGCTTCTGGGCCTCAAAGGCTGGGCAGGGTGGGGTGGGCTGGTGCCTGCTGAACTCACAGTGGGGCACCATCCCATGGGACTGAGGGGCAAGAAAGGTCTTCAGGGGCAAGAACAAGGATCTCAGACTTGAGTCAGACCTCTGTCCACAGGCCCTCACCTGGGCAGTGTGACCTCAGGCCAGCCCACCCGCTCCGGCCTCAGTTGCCTCATCTGCAAAACGAGGGCACGGTCAGCATGTTGGTGCAAGGGTTCTCTGAGCTCAGCCCCCCGGGCACGCTGTGACGCCCCCAGAGACCCCAGCCCGAGTCCTGTCCCACACCCCATGCGGAACTATGCTCCTCTGAAAGTCACAGTCGAGTTCAAGTTTAATTTCAAGCCCTGGGGAAGGGAAAGTGGCCCTTTCTCCAGGACCGGGTGGGGAAGGTGAGTCACCCGGGCTTCCTCACCTGGGCTGATGCACATCTGTGCGAGGGACGCCAGGGGAGGAGACAGACAGACAGGGACACCGTCCTGTGCCTGGCTGCAGCCACATCCACAGCCCGAGCTGGCTGAGGCCGGCAGGTCTGGGTGACAGGGGCTGGCCCCTCAGGCACACGGGGCACCCTGGCCGGCCCATATCCGCGCGCCTTCCCCAAGCCTCGCCCTTCTCTCCCCCGCCGTTAGGTAACTGAATCCTGCCCAGACTCCACTTTCTTCCAAGGTGCTGGAGGGGTCAGTGAGTCGGGTGACTCAGGAGTGGGAAAGACCCATGAAGTCATCGGCAGGCCGCCACTTCGGGCGCTCAGGAGGCTGTCTGGCCTCTGGAGTCACCGCGGGAGCCAGGGAGATTCCCCAGGAAGGCACTGCTCCCTGGCTGCAGGATGGGCCGGGGCACCTGACTCAGGGGGCGTCTGGGGGGCGGGGGGCTTGTGCTCTGCGTTGCCTCTCCATCGCCTGGGGAGGGGAGACACTGGGGCAGAGCCTGCTCGGAGGCTTAGTGCCTGCTGGGCCTCATGGCAGCAGCCGAAGCACAAAAGCCAAAAAACCAGGGGTCTCCCAGGAAAAAGGCCCCCGTGAGTCTCAGACCCCGTCCCAATGTCTCCCCAATCCCCACGCCAGAGGCCCTTCCAGCACCCCTGGGCCTCAGCCACAATGCAGATGCTGAAAGCTGCCTGCTGGGGCTGGGAGCTGGGGGCTGGGGCATAAGCTCCTGGCAGGGAGCCCACTCCGACTCAGAGACTCAGAGCCAGA